CTTGTAATTCTGTAACTGATTCTCTTAATTGAATAAAATTCTCCTTTTGTTGATCAAAAAAAAAAAAATGAATAGAAGAGGAATCAATAGAAATTTTAGGACAGAGCTAGCTTGTTCACTATAAGAAGATAGTTTAGGGACATGAGAAATCATCACCTGACCATGAGTGATTGCCCATAAGCATGGTTTACATAGGGCTGAAAATGGTATCAATTTGTCCAAATTAAATTCATATTCAATTCGGTTAATGGTGATTCAAATTTGATCCATTTGTAATTGGATTCAGTATGGCTCCACCATTGATAAAATTGATTTGAATGTTGTATTTTTACTAAAAAAAAAAAAAGAATAGAAGAGGAATCAATAGAAATTTTAGGACAGAGCTAGCTTGTTCACTATAAGAAGATAGTTTAGGGACATGACAAATCATCACCTGACCATGAGTCATTGCCCATAAGCATGGTTTACATAAGGCTGAAAATGGTATCAATTTGTCCAAATTAAATTCATATTCAATTCGGTTAATGGTGATTCAAATTTGATCCATTTGTAATTGGATTCAGTATGGCCCCACCATTGATAAAATTGATTTGAATGTTGTATTTTTACTAAAGTTTCAGGTTTAAGTTTCACACATTATATTTTATTCATTTTATTCAATGTATACAATATCAAAGTCATTTTAGTTCATTTTGTTAATAATATTAATAGAAATGAATCAAATTTGGATCTAGGTATATCTAAATCGATCTGATCCTTTTGCAGCCCTAGATACACAATTTCAATGTGGTTGACAATTGACATTTAACCATGTATAAATAGCGAAATTTTGAACCTATTTCACTGATATGAGAGGAACTAGGATTTTTTGGGAGATGTCACAAAATCTCACCAAGGAGCAATGGAAATTATTCAGGTTGTACTTTTGTGGTTGGCAAAGTTGCAGATTTAGGGTTTGTAGAAGAAGAGAAGAGAGGAGAGAAAGGAGGTATCAAAGAGAGGTGCGGGTGTTACTGTTCACACCCTCAATCACTATTTTATATTTTGAAGAACAATTACAAGAAAGCCCATATTTGGGCACCCAAATACAAAAATATGGTGAAAAGTCTAAAACACCCTTGCCCAAGCATTCTCAACACTCCCCCTCAAGATGAGCATATATGTTAATCATGCTTAGCTTGACAAGGTTTTTAGCAAACTTTGGATGGTGAACACCTTTAGTGAGGCAATCAGCTATAATAAAATGTTTGTCCACCTCAATATGCTTTCTACGACAATGTTGAACTAGATAGGGAGCAATATTTGTTGTTGATTGATTATCACAATACAGTCTCATTGGAGATCTTCTTGGATGCCCATCTCAGTCAGGAAGGTCTTCAACCAAAGTAGTTCAACCTTGTACTTTACTTCAACACTAGAATGATCAACAACTGATTGTTTCTTACTTCACCATGAAATCGCATTTCCTCCAACTAAGGCACAATAACCAAATGTAGATCTTTTATCATCAGTGGACCCTACCCAATCAAGGCCTGTGTAAGCATGAATCTTTAGATGCCCATGATTGGAATACAACATTCCTTTACCAAGGCATTTGTTAAGAACTTGACTACTGATTGCAGTTACAATGAGAGTTGGTCCGAGGGAGCTCACCCTCTAGAAATGGACGGAAGAAAAAGAGGGAAGAAGAGGAGAAGAGGAAAAGAAGAAGAAGAGAACAAAGGAAGAAGTAGGGTTTTCTCATTGCCTCTTGAGATTATTCCAATGATATTTATATATGCTTTTGGCATGGGAGGATAGTAACAACTAACAACTCAAGTCCATTCCCTTGATGTGGACAACACATGTAAACAAACCTCAGGTGAGGCTTCGAGCAAGTGATCTAAGGGACAACCGAATAATTAGCTGTATTACTCTAGGTCTAGGCTGAATGGACTTGACTGGGTGTCATCTGAGCTCTATTATCCCCCTCTCCATCAAGAATGACCTTGGCCTTAAGGTCAACAATAGAGAACCGTCATAGTTGCTCAAAATCTTCCCACATAGCATCTTCTTTGGGTAGGTGGTTCCAGATGACTAGTGCCTATTTTTTGGTTTCTTGCCACATTTGATCCATCGAAAATCAACGATCCTCTAGGACTCCATCATTGTTTCTCCCTCATCTATGTATTGGGGAAGGGAAGGGCTCATAGCATCTGATGTAGCCAAGCATGGTTTCAGGAGGCTGATGTGGAAAACTAGGGGCAAATTGGAGTCTAGTAGAAGAGCCAAGCGATATGCCACCTGTCCAATGCTCTCCACCACTTAGAAGGGCACACAATAACATGGAGCCAACTTCTACCAAGCTCGTTGGGCCAAAGAGGTTTGCTTGTAAGGTTGGAGCTTTAAGTAGACCTAATCACCTAGGGAGAGCTCTAGCTCCCAATGCTTTTTATCATAACCCAACTTCATGCGTTGTTGGGATTGTTGGTGATGGAATTTGAGTGATTTTAGTATTTGATCTCTAGCAATCAACTGCTCTTCCACTTCAACTACAACAAAGGTGCCTTGGTCATAAGGTAAGAGGGAGGTTTCTCTTTAGAACAAAACTCAGTCTAGCTCGATAATCCATGCTTTTGAAGATCAATTAAAGAGGTAGACTCCATCATCTTCATGCCCACTTCCAATCATCTTCCCTGTGCTCCGGTCTTCAAAAACACAATGGGTAGGAAAAAAGATCACAGAGCAATTATGGAATTTTGTAAGAGAACTAATTGACAATAATTTTTTATGTAATTGAGGTACATGAAGAATAGATCAAAGAGAGAGGTTATGGGTGAGTTTGACTTCACCCTAACTCGAGATAAGGGTTTGAGATCCAACATCAACAGTAATCTTACCCTTCCCCGGGGTTAACTTATATGAAGTAAAATGTGAAGGCAAACCAATCATATGGACATTGGCTCCAGAGTCTACAATCTATGGGCTGAAAGATGAGGAACAAGCAAGTGCAATACCTCTCTTAGCATATGAACTAGATGGATTTCTAGGTCTAGACCCTTCCCTAGGGTTGACTTATATGTAAAAAAATGTGAAGGCAATCATATGGGCACTGGCCCCAAAGTCTACAATCCATGGGCTGAAAGATGTAGAACAAGCAAGTGCAGTATCTGTCTTAGAATATGAACTAGATGGATTACTAGGTCCAAAACCAGGTGAGGAGGATGTTCCACCCTTTTCCAACTGCAACAGGATAATCCATAGTTTAGCCATTACATTAGAGGAGTCGGGAGCATCAAAAAATTGAACACCATTACCAATTATAGCCAAGTGAGCATTGCCCTTCTTCATAGTTTTGAATTTTTTCAGTTTTAAATGAGGATTAAGCTTCCAACACCTTTCCTTAGTGTGTCTTGGCTTCTTGCAATAATCACAAATAACATCCTCAACATTATCAATAACAGGATGCTTACTAGTACTTTGCTTGGGTCAAGATGACATAAAGGCCAAGTGATCAATCATAAGAGGTTGCATCATGGCGGCCCTTCTACTCTCCTCCCCTTATACAAGGGAGTAAGCGGAAGTAAGAGTGACAGTACCGACATTGAGAATATGTTGCCTAGTGAAGTCAAACTCTGGGTTCAAGGTAGCCAAGAAATCAAAAACTCTATTCTCTTCTATGTACTTACAATATTACTCACTATCTTCAGAGTCCTTCCAGACTAGAGATTTCAAATGATCTATTTCTTCCCAAATAGACTATAGAGAAGAAAAATACATAGCCACAGATCTCCACCCCTGACACATACTACAAGCCTACCTCCAAAGTTGGTACACTCTGGCAGTATTGTTAATTTGGGAATAGGTGGCAACATGTAGTTATGGGCAATATGAGGTTGCATTGAGTAAATCAACCATGGCATTACAAGGGAGTTATCCTACTCCCACTTTGCAAATATCGAATCTTTAGGATTTGGCTTCACCACCTTTCATGTAATGAATCCCAGTTTACCTCTCCTTGTGATGGTAAGCTTAGCAGATCAGGACCAGTCCAAAACGTTGGTCCCATAAAGTTCAACAATGGTTATCATACCCCTTGAAATATCTGCATTTCTCAGGAGCACACTGGAAACCATCTATACATCCTTGGATGATTCCATGTTATATTAAAACACTTTCTCGTCAACCAAAAGGACCCCCAACCCAATACTCAACCAAAGCTAAGGACCCAAGAAAATAAGTCACCACACGTTTAAGAGCCACAAGGAGGCCAAAACACTAGGTTGACAGCAAAATAAAGGAAGAAGAAAATCTCCCCAAAAATTGTATAGGTCTTAGAAAATTACAGAACCACTTCCTGTCACTCTCAAAATGTAAAACGACCCAAATGGTCTAGGTTTTGCAATAGAAAACACCAGTAAACATGTTGTATAAGGCTTAACATCAGATCTGGAAGTTTTTCAATTTTCTTCTTGAAAAACCCACAAAAAATCATAGAAGCTTCAAACAGCTACAAGAGTCATACCAAAAAATTTCTAAAATCAGGGCAAACCAAACCATGTAGGATTCATTGACTGCCATCATCACCAGTACGAACTACTGACATCAGTGGATCATCTCGCAGGAGAATCAATGGAAGATTTATTCCTGAGAGCCTCAACCTGCTCTGGTACCAAGTTGTAGATTTAGGGTTTGGAAGAGAAGAGTGAAGGAGAGGAAGGAGGTATCAAAGAGAGGTGTGTATGCGTGTGTGTTACTATTCACACCCTCAAATACAAAAAGATGGTGAAAAGTCTAAAACACCTTTGCCCAAGCATTCTCAATAGGCAAGAACCAAAGAAATGATAGAAACATTATATTTGTTCACTGTTTGTAGTAGATAAGAGTAGTTATTCTCTATGTATATAACTTTTAAAAAACAAGGAATAAATAAGCAAAAAAGAATTCTACCTACCCCTAATTTTTTTTAATCATTATCTACCTATCTTCAATATTTATATAAACATTTATTCCATGTATACCTTCTTGCACAATTATTCTATTTGCACATACACATGTTTGCCCACTATTACGGAACTTTGCTGCAATCTGCAAAGAAAAATGGCATAACCTCAGTTAGTTATAACCTCTAACATAAGTTTTATGCAACAATGGAAAGACTGAAAAGAAATATCTAAAAAGAACACAAGGATAACTGTTCATACTATCTGCTCTGAAAATACTAAAATGTAGCTACCATTAAAAATTATTTAAGTATACAGGGATCAAGTGAAATACATTGCCAAAGAATGCATATATGCATTACCATCCCAACAAATATAAGGGGAGTTTTGAAATTATACTTGTTTGTCTTGCCACCCATTCAATGTCCATGTAAAACTAATTATAAGTGCGCGAGAATATTTATTGTGAAACATGGATCAAACTATAACGCCCTAATATAATTTCATTACTTAAATGATTTGTCAAGATGGTAGTCAGTGTGATTTTGTGACATCCTGACAAATCATTGTATATGCGTATATACAAGGAAGCATATACTAATATTTATTTTAGATAAGTATAATTTTTTTTGATAAATAATTTTAGATAAGTATAATTTCATTGCTTAAAAGAAATTAGTGGCAAGACAAAGAAGCAAGAAATGTCAGAAATGTTAATAAAAAGAATCATCATCATCATCCAAGCCTTGTCCAAACTATATGTGCTCGGCTACATGAATCATGTTTCACAATTCCATTCTGTTCAGTGCCATACCCATCTTGAAATTATGGGAGCTTAAATCATATCTTATTACCTCCACCCAAGTCCTTTGCAGTCTGCCTCTAGCTCTTCTAGCCCCTTCAACTTTTAATAGATCATTTTTTCCTAGCAGATCTTGTAGATGGTCTTTATACACATGATCAAACCATCTCAATCTACTTACTTTCATTTTATAACCTATTGAGTCTACTCCTAGATTCCCTCATATGACTTCATTTCTAATCCTGTCCTTTATAGTTTTACCCCACATCCATCTAAGCATTCACATTTCTACCACACTCATTTTCTTGACATGATGTTTTCTAAGTGTCCAACACTGTGCTCCATATAACATAGCTGCCCATTTGTCTATAAAAGCATAAATATTCAAATAGTCTATATATGTTGAAATTGAGCATTATAAATCTATGGAAATGGGTATTATATTTGTTATTTAAAAAGAGTTTGTAAATTCAAACTATCTAATTCAAAACCAGGTGGTCTTATATTAATTGGTACCAGAGCTATTAGCCTTACTGATGTGGACGCGTATTGGGAACAGCAGCAGCAATGATCTGGTGTTCTCATCCTATCCAATTCAGCAGCAATAGTCTTATCCATTCAGCAGATTAGATTAGACTATCTTGTTATTCTTATCTTATTAAGTTAGTAGATTAGATTATCTTATCTTATTAGATTAGGATTAAGAGAGATTATCTTATCTTATCAGTCTTATCTTATCAAGATAGAGTTGGAGGTCTCCCTATTCAGCAAGGAGTCTCCCTAAGAGCAGGACTCTTGTAATCTCCTATTTAAGGAGCCACTATTATTGAATAAAGGCATCCAAAATTTCAGTCAAAGAGAAGAGTAAAGGAGAGTTAGGGTGATCTCTTGGACAAATCACCCCTTAGGTCACAACGATAGGGTCAGCACGCAAAGGGAGGGGCAAGGGGAAACTAGAGGTTCTCCCTGCGACAAGACCTACGCCCAGGCCCACAACAACTTGGTATCAGAGCAAGGCGTCATGGGAGATCTGGAGCAGCTGCCGTCCAAGGTCCACGATCTCGAGCACCAGCTCGTGGAGACCAACTCAGAAGTACATGAGATCAAGGACGAAGTCAGGGAGCTACGGCGTCTGATGGAGTTATTCCTTTCTAGCAAAGAGAGGAACACAGAAGGGGTGACAGCCACTAGCGGCCGCCGACCAGATCTGCAGGAGTCTTCCGGCGAACAGCAGTTCGGCAACCAGGGGGTTGTAGTCATCCCCAAGTATAGTAGGTTAGAATTCCCGTCGTACAACGGCAACGGAGATCCCATGGGCTGCCTGTACCGGTGCGAGCAGATTTTCGAAATCAACGGACAAACAACCGGGATAAGGTAAGCCTAGCCGCCTTTCACTTAACAGAGGAAGCGCAACTCTGGTTCTATCGATTAGAACAAGAAGAACCTGGGCTCAGTTGGACCCAGTTCAAGTCCTACTGCCTTCTTAGATTTAGGCCCCCACTGACAAGCAACCCCTTAGGCGAGCTAATTAACCTTAAACAAACCGACACAGTGGCAGAATACCAGCGCCAGTTCCAGACCCTCCTCACGAGGGCATCTTCAGTGCGACCGGACTAGCAGGTAGACATGTTCACCGCTGGGTTAGCAGAACCCCTGCGGGTGGACGTGGAAATGCAGAACCCCCCCAACCAGGTTACAACCATGAATATAGCTCGCATTGGAACCAGGTTACAACCTGATGAAACAAGAGGAAGATGAGGATGAACCCTCTTCATTGGAACCCGATCCAGGAGGGCAGAGTCATTCCACCTATTCGGGATTCCTTTGATGGTGTTTCCCGACACCCATCCTGAATTCGAGCTTGAGGACAAGCTCGTAGTCCAAGAGGGGAGTAATGATGTGGACGCGT